GGGAGGGGGGGGGGGGGGGCATAGTGGCCGCCTCGGGCGCACCTTGAGGATGTTGCTCCGCTCCGGCCAGGCAGGCAGGCGCTGGCGCTCGTTGAGCATCTTCTTGAAGTCCGCGGTCCGCGACCGAGACTGGAAGTCCTCGCATTGGCGCTTGAAGCCGGGGAAGTGATCGGCCGGGCGCCGGCGGGACTGCGGCCGGATGGACGTCTCTTCGCTGGTGGCACTCCGGTCGATGGAGAAGCCGCCCTCGGCATTGCTGGTGCGCTCTATGCAACGCACCGCCACAGGGCAAAAGCCCATACAGCAGGACATGGATGTGAGTGGCGATCGCTCGGGCGGAGAGGGAATGGACGCAGGAGGCCTGCCATAGCAAGGCCCCGAAGGGGGCAGAGGGATGACGCCTGCGCGGGGAAGAGGAGAAGAGGCAGAGAGAGAGAGGGGGGGGGGAGACAGAAGAAAAAAGCCCACAAGAAGGCACGCACCCTGGTACATGGCCACCAGCGAGGGGGGCGTGCTGACGAGGTCGGCAAAGTGCTCCTCGGCCCATTGCAGGGCATAGTAAATGCTTGGCATGCCGAGGGTGCTCCCGGTGCCAGACTCATCGCCAAGCAGCGCCCGGTGCAGGCGCCGCGCGAGGAACACACACATGTATGTTGTCAACTCCGAGGTCCCCGGGAGTACCGTGACAAGCGGGATGGACGCCAATGGATAGGCCGACGCCCCAGCCGCCAGGAGGGGAATGTACAGGGCAAGTTGGGCCCCGGAGGCACGGCCCGCATTACGCACTCGCAGGGTCACCACATGGGCCAGACCATTCTCCCACGAGCGCTTCACCTGGAAGCTCCGTGCGTCCAGCATGCTGTCAAGGATGCCCAGCTCCTCATTGATGGCTGCCTTGTCGGGAGTGGCCCCGGCACCGGTGCTCCCATCAAACAGCAGATCCCGCGCCGCCGGGCCTTGCGCGCCGTCCAGCAGCCAACGAAGGGTCAGCAGGCCGGTGGCAAAAATGTTGCCCGCCTGACGCGGGTCCAGCAGCGGGCCCGCAGCACCGGCAGCTGCACCGGTGTGCAATGCGAGCGCCTGCTGTGCCTGTGCACGGGTATACCCAAATGACCGGAGCCAGGAAACCACCTGATCCGTCTCAAAGCTGCTCTTCGACAGGAGCTGGATGGTGGCCGACGCCTGCAGGGCCTTCGGCAGATCATCCTCCGGCACCATGAGCGACAGCCAGTCCACACAGGCACTCAGCGTCGGCAGGGTCTGCACGCCAGTAGTGTGGCCGGATTCCGTCCACAGATGCTCGATACATTCGGAAATCATGAAATCCCGCAGGCCCATCTTGCCAAGTGCATCAACCAGCTGCTTGTACTGCGTGCGTGCGTGTGTGCGTGCGTGCGTGCGTGCGTGCGTGTATGTGTGTGTGTGTGTGTGTGTGTGTGTGCGAAAGCGGTGAAGAGGGGAGAAGGGGTCAGCAAAACACCCAAGGTCCGTCATGGGTCCAGCATAGCAGAAGCGACGGCAGGGATGGGGCGCACCTGGTTGGACTTGCGGTCGAGCGGGCGCTGCTGGGCCAGCTGCGAGGGGAGCGCATCGCTGGAGGAAGCCGAGGAGATGAGGAACTGCTCGAGCTTGTCCCGCACACCGGGCTGCAGCTGAAGCTCGGAAGTCTGTGGGGGGGGGAGAGAGGGGGAAAGAGACAGAGGGAGGAAGGGAAGGGGGCAGGTGGCCAGGAGCATCCACACAGGGAGGATGTCCAAGGAGGGAGGGGGAACAGGCAAACGTGTTAAGAGGAGACCGACAAAGGGGAATGAGGGAGTCAAGCTGACAAACCGAAAATGGGCACATGTCGGGGCGTACGGTGGTTTTCCGTGCAGCCGGGGGGCGGGATTTGGCAGCGCTCGGCGGCGGCACAGGCTCTTTCTTCGGGGCAAAGGGATCTGGCATCTCGGCGGGTGGCTTCTGGTCCGGCAGCTTCTTGATATACTCGGCCACATGGTCCCGGTAGAAGTCCCGATAGCCGGGGGGAATCATGACGCCGATGTTCCGATGACAGGAGACCTGGAGAGAGAGAGAGAGAGAGGAAAGATGGAGGAAAG